CCAAAATGCCTTCCGCTCTCCACACACACGTGTCTACAAATTCCGCAAATATCCGTTATCCGTTTCCTTTGTGTGAGATTTATTTGTTTCTCCATTCTTTCCGCCGTATCAGGATGTGCAAATCTTAAAACTTAAAAATAAAATACAACGCACACACATGGAACAACAAAAAAATCACAAAATCTCTCTCAACCCACCAAAGTTCAAAGTGGTGTTTGGTGTGCCCGTTTCCCCCCCTTTGACCATATTAGCACCCAATTCGCTTACTCTCCCATTCCATCCACAGTCCCTGCCCCTGCCCCTTGGCTCGTGTGCTTTTTATCTGTTATCCCTATCCAGGAACGTGAAAAAAGGGATACGAATTGCTTTAAACTAAGGCACTAAGCACTTTTACCGCTGTGTTGTCTCGCTGCCCAACTTTGTCAAGCGCACACAACAAAGTGTTATGTGCTATGTGTCTTGTAACTAACACTACGAATGTCGCAGACACTGTGCACTGTGGTGGCTGCAAAAAAAAAGCGGAGTAGTATCATTTCAACGCCCAACCGAAAGAACCCCTTCCCCCCATATACGGCAAGCAGAAGATGAACGCACAGTGGGAGGAAACGCAGTGAATAGACATAAATGTATCAGGTGGTAACTTTGTTTTCAGTATACATATTTGAGTGTGAGATTGTTCTCAGTGTTTCTTCATTGAAGTGCCTTGTATCCGTTACTTTGCTGGCCGTTATTCTTGTCATCCTCCCATATAATTGCTGCCCGAGTGCTTGTGTTGCTGAGAGAGAGAGTGCGTAGTGAGAGAATCGCTGAGAGAGGATCGGCAGAGCAAGAGCATCTTGTTGTTGGTGTGTGGGACGTGAATGCGATATATTTGGCACAGAAAGAAGCCTTTGCAAGCCTTGGATGGTGTGCGTATTTTTTGGCATCCTAAAAGGAAAAAAGAACAACTGCTAAATATATCGTTGAAACCTTAACAAATAATAATCAAAATCAATATTGCCACAGTGTGCCGCTGTTCTGCTTCTCTCGTTCCTTCGCGCACTTTTTGGAGAGTGTGGAAAAAGTACATTTTTCAAATGTTACATTTTTCGTAGCCCTCTTTGCGGGGCGAGTGAAAGTTGCTAACCGCCTGGCATCGCTCTCTCACTCTCTCTTTCTCCCTCGCTCTCTTTGTCTATTCGCATCTTCTGTCTCATTCCACTTTCTGCGGTGTGTTGATTTTTATAGTTTTCCAAGCCATACCCCACAGCCGGCCCACAGCCCCACCCACATTTGCCGTTTTCTGGGCGAGTTTGCGGTCGTTTTGTTTTCTGGCCCATTTGCGGAGCAAAGTTTTGCATCAAGTTGTAAATTTGGCGATTAGCACCCCTTTGTGAGTTGGCTGAAATGGTCGGCATGTGGTCCCAGAACGGGACAGGATGGGACAGGACAGCAGTCAGAGATGAGAGCTGAAGTTGGAGCTGGGAGATGGGAGTCGGAGTTGGATCAGGACCATTTCTAACAGCCGCACAAAAGCTTGACAAGATGCGCGTCGGCTGATAAGTTGCATGTGAAATTAGCATAGGCTTTGGTCTTTGGCCAGCAGCGGACACTCTCCACTCCACACTCCACTCTGCTGCCCCACTATGCCCCACTCGGCTGCACCACACTCCAGCAGCAGTAGCAGGCAGCAGCACACGGGCGACGATCTTGTCGCTAAACTTTATGAATAAAACATTTTTTTGGGGCGGTGAACGTGGTCAACAGTAGCAGCAGTAGCCTTCCCAGCTTTGCCTGCTTCTGCTGGCCAACTTCAGACTGAAAACGACTTCGGACTCGGACTCGTACTCTGAGTCTGACTCTGACTTGAGTTGCAGTTGCTACAAATGTTTTACAAGCTTTTCAGCGCTTTGTTGTCCGTTGCCATTGTTGTTGTTGCCACAGCAGTTCCCGGAAACAATTCAGTTTAACAGAGAGAAAGAGATATTGAGAAGGGGGATAGAGAGAGAGAGGGAGAGAGAGAAAAAGTGCATCGCATATCGGACAATAAATCGTGAATGGTTTGCCTGAATGCTCGCTCGGCTCGATTCCGATTCACTGCGCCACTTGCATTTGCTTTATGATATGAGGCCTGTCCCTGACATTTGGCTTGACTTTATTTATGATAACAGTTCCACCAAAATGCGCTGAAAGGAATCGGAATTGGGATAGGGATGGGGACGGGGAACGTACCCCGAAATACAAAAAAACATTCACTCAACAGTTTGTCAGCATTTTGTCTTTGTATCTCTTTGACCCAAAGCTGCGGGCGGCTGGCTCCAGTTTTATAAATTTTTTACCTAATATTTTGTCTGCTTGGGCAGGAAATGAGTTTCAAATATAAGTGTGTATTTGTATGTTGTTTTTTTTTCCCCCCATCTCTGGCTGTTTTTCTTCAGTCCAGCCCCGTGGGCGTGAAGGCGCTGAGGCGTGCCTGTAATCCTGGCAAATTTGATATACTTAAGGCGCACGGGCTGGAATGAGCTGCAAATTGGTTTAACTGTGTCTATGTCTGCCCTGTCTGTCCTTCTGCCCGCCTAGCGCTGAAGAACTTGCCCTCAGGCAATAAAAAATGTGTACTTTTTTATGTATTTTTTATGATTTCTTCTCTGGGACCGCATGAACCCGTTAAATGAGCCGCGAAAATAGTTTCCGTGTCCTGGAAATTGCAACGAAAATGTGCCATAATGTGATAAGGTGTCAGGAGTGTAGATAAATATTGTCAGGGATTTGGTTTCTTATTTATTTTATCTCTCTTTGAAATATTTCTGCTCTTTAAGGGAAATCGATGTGAAATTGGATCAAAATAACTTTCAAGGAAGTAAAACCAAGTGTATAGATTTTATTTGTAATAAAAGAGAAGGAAGAATCTTGTGCATGGCTAAGTAAGTGGATGGCTGTTGGTTTTGAAATTACTAAATTTTTGGTTTCTTTATTGACTGACTCGAAACTAAAACTCAAGCTGTGGAATCCAAGTTTGATGAATAAATAATTGCACAGGAAAGTGTAAATCCTTAAAGTATATTTATGTACATATGTTCCTAAAGAGAGATTTTATTCAGTCTTATTTAAGCAAACAAGAGGCTAAAATCATTTTTACAATAACATTTAAAAAGGTTTTAAAAGTTTACTCTGAGCTTGTGCTACTGCACTTTCTGTTCATTAATGATATCTGGATATCTAGATATCGTAGAGATTCTATGGGTTCTATTCTACTTCTTCCCATTCAATGAATTCTGGAAAGTTTTTAAAGTTATGGAAATTATAATACTCGGGCAGGGCAATCTAGTAATTATTTGATAGGCATACGGTTTAAGACCACCACTTTCGACTACATTAATTGATCCCATGAAAGATACTGCAGCGCCAACTCCCATACCTTCCCTCCATTGGAGACCCTACCCATTCCCGATATAATTTTTAATTAAAATTCGCGCACTCAACCATTTCGAAGAGAATGGAAATTAATTTGCAAAAGCAAACAGAACAAAGCAAAAAACCATCGAACCAATTGCCATTGCAGCCACATGCGACTGGGAGGGGAATCAATCAAGCGTGGAGCGGCGGAGGCCATGGCAAACAGTTGCCGGACTCCGCTCTACGTCTGATTAGCCAGCAACGGTGCAGTCGGCTCCCGGAACTTCCGTCTGAAAATGAAAATGTTTATTAAAAAATTTTCACTTTTACATAAATTTCCAAAAAGCAGCGGCCGCAGCAGGAGCAGCCGGAAAATACCAACAACGACAGCAGGTACTGCCAGCTGGTGCCACCTGCATGGATGAATAGCAATGGAATGGCCACTCCCAGAAATGGTACCGCCCCGTTTGTGGTCTTATGTACGGGAAGCGCACACACTACGGTTGTCTCGCTCAGACAGCGACCCTGTCTACCCATTGGATGCGTCACCCGAACCGGTTTCTGCCCAATGCCAAAGGGAGGCCATTGCCAGTGGCAAGAGCAGTGTGGAAACACATATCACCCGTATGGTACGTACGTACCATAGATATGTATCTGTCTGTGTATGTACAAGCGAAGTACGCGCAATCCTATATATAGCAGCGCCAAGGGGTTGGACTGGGGATGGGCTGGGTTGGCTTGGGGATGTGCTCCAAGTGTGCTCCACTTGAAAGCAGCTGCTCCTACGCTTTGTCGTTTGTCTAAATGTTTGTGTTGGAGCTGCGGGAATCGCGTGGGTGCGCGAATGAGTGGATGATTGGTTGGTTGGATGGATGGATGGGTGAGGTCGAGCTGAAGGGGCTACACTCAAAGGAAGCTACATCAACTACCAGGTTTAGCTGGCAGATACATTGATTTTTGAGCACACCCTGTGATGACTCGAACTCATCATAATTTCATACAAACCGAAGGGATCCGATCGATCTGCAAAATCCGATTTAAACTCATTTTATTTGCTTGAAAAATATATATTTTGTTATTTGTATGCGTACAATCTACGTATTTGGTTACAAATATACATACTCGTATATTAAATTGTAGATCAGAATCATTTTTTAGTTCCAGATTTGTGTGGAAGCATCCTCCTAAGCTAATAAACACCACTATGTACTCGAAATAATGGTTTTGTTCTGACTATGTACAATACATTAAACACATTTTAAGAGCATGCCACTCGTAGTTCCTTGCCTCGTCTGCCGTTTCCCGTTTATCTTTAAGGGTTTCATTCGGTCCACAAAATTAAAACGAGGAGGGACGTGTGAGACGCTTCTTACGCGTCACAACTTTTATACCCGGTACTCAGCAATACATTTTACATTTTTTTAAATACACTTGTAACAATGTGAGCACACAACCATTTGGATGCAAAATTTGGTGGCTCTAGCTTTTATAGTCTCTGAGATCCAGGCGCTCAACAATACCGACGGACTGTCAGACATGGCTATATCGACTCGGCTATCAAAATATATATACTTTATGGGTTCGGAGACGTTTCCTTCTCTGCATTACATACATCCACTTTCCCCACAAATACAATATACCCAATTTACTCTTCGAGTACCGGGTATAATAAAGAATTATGCTAAATTGTCAACTCCACTATAAATTAGAAAAAAACACTTTTCAAATAACACTTATTACAAAAAACTGAAACGCCTTGAAACCGTAAATGGTCCGCATTGGTCTCCTCCTACTCTCACTCTCTCTGGTGGTTTCGCAGTGCCTCATTGATGACACGGAGTATATCGATCTGTAGATCGGTAAAGGCCACCGGTTCCATCTGAGCACTGCGAATCTTCATTGCCACTGCCTTGAAAAAGGCACCGATTTCATCGTCCTCGCCGTTAATGCTGCCGACTGGGAACTCTAGCTGTCCGCTCTTGGGTGGTGATATTTGATTGGAGTAATATCGCGATGTCGGCGTGGAGCATGGGGTGGTGGCAGCGTTCTGGTAACGTGGTGTTGATGGCGCTTCCACGTCCAGCTTTTGCTGATAGCCTCCAGCTGGTTGCAGCTGCTGTTGCTCCAGATTACTTGAGGCATCGTTGAGCTGCTCCTGCTTGGTCATGGCATTGCTGACACTCTGAACGGCCATGTACACGGACCTATCCTCGTGGTCATAGCCCACCACTTGTTGTTCTTGTTGCTGGGTATTTGGCTCCGGCACCGTTGTGTTCTCTATTTCCTCATTCTCATCGTCCTCGTCCTCGTCATTGTGGTGCGCATCGCCATTAATGAAGTTCTCAATGTCCATTTCATCATAGCTGGCCACACAAAGCTCCCTGGCCTGCTGGTTCTGCTCCTCCTGCTGCTGCTGCTGTTGAAGCGCGTTGGTCAGCTCGGACTTGTGTGGACCCGTCAGAGTTGGCAGGGACATGTTCAGCTGTGAGCTAGTCGAAGATGTTTCCATGTTGTTTTGCTGTGTCGTCGTGGAATGGTTGCCATGCCCACCCAGATGCTCCTCTAGATCATGCTTCGGCAACAGCATACTAAGTGGAGGATCTCCCTCACTGAAATAAGTGAAATTTAAAATATTTTACAGACAGTATGTAGATAAATCTGAGACTCTTACAACGCCTTTTGTTGTATGTACTTTTGAAGGAAGTTCAGTGTATCGTAGTGCTTCCAACGCGATGTAGCCTCTATTTGCATCAGGGTCCTCAGACGTTTGTGCTCGCGCGCGTATTGGTCCCGCAAGGCTTTCCACTTGAGCCGACACTGTTTTACTGCAAATTAATTCATAAAGATGGTTACAAATGGGCATAGAAGTGTCCCTAAAGCTGATGCCTCACCCGACTTCTTTAGTTTGCGTGCAATCTCCTCCCACACTTCCATTTTTAGCTTGGCATTGCGATAATTTTCATTGCCATAGTTGTATATCATATCCTCCTGCTGTATCAGCGTAATCAGTTCTTTTTCGAAAAAGCTTTCCATGTCGAGGAACGTGTGTAGGGGATCATCGTCTTCCTCTTCGGCATTCGTTGACGTCGTTGTCGTCACTGCTGTTGCTGCCTTTGTTGTTGCCGCAGAGTTTGACTGATTATTTGCGGCATTTACGCAGTCGACAATCTCCACAACCGTGGGGTCAACAATGCTGGGGGCAGTAGATCCACCTCCTGCATCGGCCAGATAGCTCCAGTTGTTCCCTGGCTGCGCCTGCAGTTGTTGCTGATGCTGCTGCATGACGTTAATGTGGTTGGCAATGAAAGCTGATCCCGACTTCTTGTCGGTGGATGTCGTGACGCCTGTAGCCCCTGACGACGTTGTAGATGGCACATGCTGTTGCAGAAACTGAACAAGACTACAGTTGTCCAAAAGACTAGCCGCCGTGGCATCCTCGATCTTGATGCTGCTGGATAGGTGCAAGTTCTGGCTGTTGCTACTGTTGCTGCTAAACGAATTGTTTATGGGCAGCGTCAGCGCCTGACCTATGGGCACAATACCATTGGCACTCTGTGCAGATCTTCCCCGATAGCTGTGAAATCAGGAGTGGCGTCTTAGAGGGTTGGTTCTAGATACCAGAGGCTTCTACTTACTTTCGCGCCAGGGCAAATGGACGCAGAAAGTCAAGTTCCTTAAAGTATTTCCACTTGACAGCTTTGGCACATGTCTTGGCGCGCTTCAGCTCGCGGCAGTATTGGTCCCTCAGGGCCTTCCATTTCCCCTTGCATTGCGTATCTGAAAGACGAAGAGTTTGACTGAATGAATAAATGAATGCCACAGGGCAATGGTTCATGGACTCACCTGACCAACCAACTTGGCCGCCAATCTCGGCCCACTTCTCATCCTTGCTCTTTGTACTGCGATAGTGCGGATGCTTGGGATTGTACAGGCACTGCTGCTGGGCGACAAGCGATAGCAGAATAAGTTCTTTGGGTATGCTGACCACATTATCGCCCAGGCTCGAGTCCATGCTGAGATTTGCGAGCTGCTCCTCCTGCTGCTGCTGGCTGGCACATGGCAGCGCCTCCATAACACGTCCTCTTATTGATACATCCTGCTGGCGGTATGTGTATTTGTCTAATTCTTATAAATAAAAGCAAGCAAAACAAAAATGAGGTGACCGACAGTGTGACCGCGGAATTATCGATCAAATATACCGACAGACCCTCGGAAATATACCAAAATATACCCTGAATTTTCAAAGTATACCGTAAATCTTAACTCATTTTCCTCGATTTTGATGTTATATTTGATATAAGTAGCTAGTTAGGAGTCTCCGCGCTAAAACTATAATTTTATCCGATTTAACAATCAATTCTCCACATGATTGGCTAGTTTTCCCGACTTTCTTTCATTGCAATGTTTACAAATTAAGTTGAAAACTAAAAAGGTCAACCAACAAAAATAGCATAAAACGTTACGTGAGTGGGAATAGATTGCTACGTCTACATATTAGACAATCTGTTGCGTGTCAACCGAAAGGTATTGTATAGTTGGTATACCCTATTTCCATAATATATAAATTTCAAAGCAGATCTCAAACATTTATAATGAATTTATCTTAGACTGACATGTTTTGAACCTTTTCATATGTATCGCTACGTTTAAGAGGGAAAATCCTCAAGGGACATTTGAAAAACATGCGTATAGGAGTTTCGATACCCTATAGTCTTGAAAATACCTTAAAAATGGAATTTAATATACGGATGAAATTCAATAAACATACCATTATATACCGATATACCGTAAATATCCAATGAATTCAATTTCGTAGTCAACATATCCTGAAAAGTAAATAAAGTACATTAAGGTATTTAAATGTTCACCCTGATGACCGAGAACAGCTGGTCAATCAGTTGTGTAATTAGAGTGACCAGCACCGCAACATTGTCAGTGTTGAATAGAGTTGTCTTTGGTGCTGGAAAGCGCAAATTTTGTGGCCAAGTTGGCAGCGCACGTTTATTCGATTCGTAGCGCGTTTAAAGTGTTTTCAATGTATTAAACTAATCCAATTAGTTAATTGCATTACCCGCAAAGGCAAAAGAAAACATCATAACATGTAAGCGAAACATTTTCCACAACATTTAGTTTGTTTTGCGACGCGGTGCGATATAATTCAACATTCACTTGCTAAAATTTCGCCCCCAATTAATGCTCAATCATGCCGAAAATTGATCCAGAAACGCAGGCCCTATATGACGAAATCAATGGCATGATACAGAAGTTTAAGGTTGCACGTTCAGCGGAAGAGTTGCTCCAATCGAATGGAATCTAAAATCAAACTTAATCTCGTTGCAGGATGACCAAAAAGCCAAGGCGGATTGCACGTTGGCCGACAAATGCGGCGACATGAGCGATGTGACCAAGATCCGATTCAATTCGAAGAAGATTCTCAAGGGTCACATCAACAAGGTTAACTCGGTGCACTTTGCAGGCGACTCGCGCCACTGCGTCACCGGCTCCCTGGATGGCAAACTGATTATCTGGGACACATGGACTGCCAACAAAGTGCAGATCATACCCTTGCGCTCGGCCTGGGTGATGACGGTGGCCTTCTCGCCGTCGGGCAATTTCGTGGCCTGCGGCGGCATGGACAATGCCTGCACCGTCTATGATGTGAACAACCGCGATGCCTCAGGCGTGGCCAAAATGGTGCGCGAACTAGTGGGCTACGAGGGCTTCCTCAGCTCTTGTCGTTTCCTCGATGATGGCCATTTGATCACCGGATCTGGTGACATGAAGATGTAAGGCATTCCAGATCAACTGTAGACTCTACTAACACTTTAATATCGTCTGCAGCTGCCATTGGGATCTGGAGAAGGGTGTCAAGACAATGGATTTCAATGGACATGCTGGCGACATTGCTGGCCTCTCCCTGTCCCCCGATATGCAGACCTATATAACCGGCTCTGTGGACAAAACTGCCAAGTTGTGGGATGTACGCGAAGAGGGCCACAAGCAAATGTTCTTTGGCCACGATATGGATGTCTCCTCTGTTTGCGTGAGTACCTTTTCTGGCCTCTCTGACAAGCATCACCGTTTTATTATGCTTTGAACAGTACCATCCAAATGGCATGGGCTTTGCCTCCTGCTCGGAGGATCAGACGGCGCGCTTGTACGACTTGCGGTCGGATCAACAAATCGGCCAGTACGAGCCACCCCAGAAGAACACGGGCTTCACTTCGTGCGGTGCGTCTTTCATGCTGCTTTCGCCTTGACTTTTGACAATTTTTAATCTGATTTTGTGCTGTGCTCATTAGCTCTATCGACCAGCGGGCGCTACCTAATGTGCGGCGGCATTGAGGGCATGGTGCACTCGTGGGATACGATGAAACAGAGGCACACGGGTGGGTTTATGGAATGGGAAGGTCGTGGGGGAAACTATGCAAATTGTTATATCGATTTATTTGTTTGTGTTCTCCACAGGCACACTGTCTGGACACGAGAATCGCATTACTTGCATCAGCCTGTGCCCCAATGGCATGTGTCTAGCCTCGACCAGTTGGGATCAACAAGTGCGTCTGTGGCTCTAATTCTCTCTAATCTCTTTCCACTTCTAACTGCTAAATCCAATGCAATCTTGGCTCAATGCCGTCTAATAACATTTACTAACATAAAACGTAGCTGTTGAGAATAATTAACCAGAGCAATGCATGTGCGAGAATAAAATCTATAAAGTAGCACCACTAACAATAACAAACTTATTCTTATTCCTTTGTTATTTAGCTTCTATTTATAATCTTTGCAGCCGTAAATGGAAATTCCCTTCATGCTTTGATCAGCAATTAATCTTCATCTGTTGATGTAAGTTCCATAATTAAAACAAGTAAGTATTTTTATGTTTTTTTTTATATATTTTTTATATTTTTCTTATAAAAAATACTTATACAATTACGAAGATATTTGTTTGCTGCTGCGATTTTTGGCGCTTGGTTTTTTTGTTTTGTTTGTGAAATTCTCTTTGAACAGATCAAAGAAAGCAGCGAAGTAAATTTAAAAACAAATCACTTTTATCATCAACATAAATGAGAAACGAAACAGAAATAGTACGAGCAGATCAAGGAAAAGATATAGACACAAGAAAGAATTGAGTTGAGAGACAAACAGCAGATGGAAGACTTGTAGAAAGTTTGGAAAGTGAGAGACGGAAGAGAGAGGACTTGCATAAATAATAGAGCTCAGGTTGGGGGAGTAGAGAAAGAAACGAAAGATCACACAAGATGCAACAAATTTGAGTATTTTTTGTAGATGGTTCAACATATTGTTTGTTTGCTTGTTTGTAGGCGGTGTTTGTGGGTTTAGGTTTTGTTTAGTTTATCAGACTCTCGGTGGAACTACTATCAGTTGTTCTCTTGTTGGTTTTGGAAAAGAGTAAAGTAGCAGGCGCAGGAGAGTGTGCCTTAGACGGAGAAGCCGTCACCAGTGGGATCGAGGATCCAGGGATAGTTGTTGGGGCACTCCATGCACGTGAACAGGCGCAGCGTCTCCCCGGGCAGCTCCCGAGTGGTCAGGGGGCAGGCGTTGGGCAGCGAGCAGTAGGGCTGGCCCTTGACATCGCACTTCTCCTTCCACTCCTGGAAGTCGCGCAGCGAGTTCAGCTCAGTGGGGTTCTGCATCCACTGGATCACCTGCAGATTGGTCACAAAGAACACATCGTTGCGGCCCAGCATCTCCTCGATGAACTTGACCAGCTCGTCGCGGTACTCCTTCTTGGACTTCAGCCACGAGGCGTGGAAGTGCAGACCCAGAGGGGCGCGGTTGCTGTTGTAGTGACGGTTGAAATTGTGGCGCAGAAGGCGTGCGAACTGCTCGCCGGAGGCAACGTTTGAGCACGAGTCGACCATGTGGCAACCGGGCAGCGACTCATCGAAGGTGGGGTCATCGCGACGATCCAGCTCGTTCATGACCATCTCCCAGACGGGGTGGCTACGGGACGGGCAGTTGTGGGCGTTGCCGTTGCACTTGTGGGGCATGCGGAAGTACAGGGTGTAGGGCCAGATGGGCACGCGGCCCAGGGAGGCGGTGATCGAGGCGTCGTACACGAAGAACTGATCAGCCATCATCTCGAACTGCTTGTTGCCGCCCACACGGAGGTAGGGGGCACGCATGCCGATGATCGAGCCGTCGGTGATGTTGGCAAAGCGCTCAACAATCAGTCGGGAACCGGCCATCTCGGCCAGCCAGTCGTCGTAGCTGCCGCCGGACCAGTAGTTGGGATCGTCCTTGTGCGTCAGCGAGAACACGGAGATCTCGTGGCCGCGACGGTGCAGATCCTGCACGGCCGAGTAGTTAGTGTACTTGTGCGATACGAAGAATGTACCCTTGATGGAGCAGCCGTTGGGGTTCTGGCGCTGGCCATTGAACAGATCATCGTACAGATCGATGTTGTCCACGTTGACGGCACCGTTGAAGGTGATGGTGATCATCTGGGGCACCTGCTGGGGCTCAATGCCGCCGGGAATCCGGGTTCCGTCCGCCGAGCAGAAGCAATCGGGCAGAGCGCACTGAGTGGGATCGCACTCGGGAGCACGGTTGGGATCCTCATCGACAGCTGCAGAGTTGGGAGATTAGTCTGTGGGCTAAACGGGATCTCAAAGCAGAGATGACACTCACAGCAGGCATTCTCATCGGACTCGTCCTTGCAGTCGGGCTTGCCGTTGCAGAAGAGCTCCTTGTCCAGGCACTCGCCGTCACCGCAGGACAGCTTACCCTCAGGACAGATGGGCTCATCCGTCTTCAGGATGGGCTGCGCCTTGCGTGGCTCTATAGAAACGTGAGCGAGGGAGAGAGAGATGGATGGTTGGTTGGGTTAGATCAGGGATCTGTTGTGTCTTATGCCTAAAAGTTTTCCGATTAGTGACAACAAAATGTCTAAATTTTGAAATGATAAGTAATGATGATCTACATAGATATGCATGCGGTGCGGTTCGGTGCGGTTAGTGCGGCTGATTGGTGAGCTTGGTAGGTGGTTAGTGGGTGGGGAGTGTGCACCATTGTGTGCGGGTTAGGATTGTGTTGTTGGTAATTGGATTTTGGTTTGATTTTGGAGTGGGTTAACGGATTTGATTCTACCAAAGTTCCGATTCTAACATTGCTGACTACTGTATGTACAAGTGTTGGTTCCAG